ATGTATAATTGTGTGTGTGTGTGTGGGTGTACGTACAGAGACACTCGATATTGTCTCACATTCAGCAAAGGGAGTCTGAAAGTCTTAAATGGGGTAAGAAAAATATATATTCCTCTACATTTACTTAAGTAACTTCAGGCTGACTGCAAAGCTCTTGCTTGTCATTACACCTGTTTTATGAAAGGTACGAGATGATATGAGACACCATTTAATAACTCAGTCATGTGGCCAGACGATCAGATGAAAACTCTTGCTCATTTGGGGGGGGAATCAGCTGAAGTTCGTCTTGCGCAGGTGCTTGTTCGGGACCTCAATGGCGCTGACTTGCAAAGGCCAAGAGCCTCCCATAATTCCAGCCTGGATGGCCACGCCTGTGACCACTGCCAGGTCTGGGTCCACAGAGGTATTGGGGTCCTTGCTGAAGTACTCGCTGATGAGCTGCCGAACACGGGGGATGCGGGTCGAGCCTCCAACCAGCACTATCTCATCCACCTCCTCCTTGTCGAGATGACCCTCTGCCAACACCCTCTCCACTGGCACAAGTATCTTCTGGAAAAGGTCAGCGTTGAGCTCCTCAAAAAGCTCCCTGGTAATTCGCTCCTCAAATACCACCGGCTTGCTGGGTTCCGGGTCCTCCCCGGTCTCCAGGTGCAAGGGGATCCTCAGCATGACGCTTGGCTCGAAGGTGAGGTTGAGCTTGGCAGCCTCCACAGCTTGCCGTAAGCGGTGGATGTCCTCTTTTCTCGTGGGTGGAGTGCCGTGCTCCTGCTGGATCCTCTCCATGGTATGTCGCAACAGCCTCTGACTGAAGTCCTGTCCCCCAAGCTTGTTGTTGCCTTGGCAAACACAAACAGAAGCATTAATGGTCCCTCCTACCACCATTTGATCATATAGTGACAAGTGGCCTCTCAACCTACCTGCCATGGCCCTGGTGAGAAACATCCCCCCTTGCTTGTTCAGCAAAGATACATCCAGCGTCCCTCCCCCCAGGTCCACCACCAGCACGTTAGACACGTCCACCTTGTGCAGACCATATGCCATGGCTGCTGCAGTCGGCTCATTGATCACCCGCAGGATCTCCAGCCCTGGATTTGACCAGGAAAAGGTGACATACGCAAATTAAAACATAAACGATTCACAAAGACTACGGTAAACCCGACTGTCTGAAAGCCGATGCCGAACCAGCCGGCAACCGAGAGACCCACCAGCCAAACGGGCAGCCTTGATGGTGTAGTTCCTTTGCCGCTCGTCAAACTCTGCTGGCACAGAGATGACTGCCTTCTCAACGACCACACCGAGGTGTTTCTCTGCCATCTTCTTCATCTTCCGCAAGAGCTGGAAACTGATGAACTCTGGGCTCACTGTGAACGTGCGATTGGTCGACACTAAAAATTCTGCACTTCCGTTGTTGTACAACACCTGGGGCGTGGGGGATAAAACTCCCATGAGCTTCAAATTTAATTATTTGTACATACAAGTTTTGTGTAATTAATAAAACAACGGACTTTCCAGTTAACTACCTTGAATTGATAACGGGAACTTTCTTCTTCCAAGCCCTCGGGCTCAAAAATTTTCCCAATGAAGCGCTTGGCATCATAAATGGTGTTGTGGGGATTGCTGTCCGCCAGCTCCTGCCCCTCGTAGCCTGCGTGGATGTCTGTGGCGGTGAACGATACCACACTGGGAATGCTCTTCCGGCCCTCCTGGTCGCCGATGACCTCCACGTCGCCGGTCCCTGCGTGGAAAACCCCCACGGAGCAGAACGTGGTCCCCAAGTCCAAACCGATCACCTTGGGCTTTGGGGGAGGCAGGTACTGCTGACCAAAGTAACCGGCGAGGAGAAGCGCTAGAATAGCTGATCCTGTTGGTTATTTACACAAACCGTTACATGTCTGTATAATATTTCCACTCGCTCCACGGTCTACTAAATCAGAAGCAACAATTATTACGCATTACAAGACAGAAATAGCAATTTACCTGATACATCAATACGCTTATTACAGTCAGAAATCCTTGTTGACTAGCTAGATAGGCAAGGCGCACTATCGCACGATTTTCTTAGTATTTCTTTAATAGGCTACAAAAGTTGACATTTACCCAGTATTGACATTTCTCCTGCCATCCCGAATATCTGATACAGCTGTACACTTGCGAACCATAAGATGTGGCGAAAAATCTACAAAAATAATTCACAGGCGAACAGTTACCGGTAACTTGCAGCGATACCGAAACTGTAAACCACACGTCAGCTTTTCAGTGGTGAACATATTTCTGGATAATGTAGTGCTTCTAGTGACCATCTTCATAGTATTTTATGTGTGATCATCGCTTATGAACACAATTTCCCATAATTCTTTGCAGGCATACACGTAATGATTGAACCAGGAAAAGGTAAGAGAACACGTGAACACCGAGAAAGGCGAAGTTCTGGTCCTTGTGATGTGTCATCGACATTTTGCAGAAAGCTGAGTTTTTCAGGCGGCGTGTTGCTTTGAAACGAATAGATGTGGCCAGGTAGCTGCTAGTTTGGCTATTAGGATGTTTTAAAATAAATTACTGAAAAATCCCCAAGTAGCTCTAGCAACAGGTGTTTTTTTCTGTCTGATATTATAGTATGATTCAGGGAACGATCTGTGGACAAATTTAAATAACTAATAAGGACTGCTTCATGCTTAGCATCTATAATTATTCTGTTTATAATATGCATGTATCAAGCCGTAGATTGTGCGAATGTGTTAATCGAATGAATTAAAATGTTAATTTAAAAATAAAATTAGTCCATATCATGATATCGGTTGTTCAGTTCAGTATTTTGAAAATATGTTCTATTTACAAAATACAAATACATTAAACGTATGTGGAAATACAACCACGGTGCCAAGAGTAATTTACTCTTGGGATCTAAGCCGGGCCAAATAAAATGGGCAGAGACAAACAAAATGGAAAATTACAACAGGAGATAAGAATAAGTACTTATTGAATTTAAAAACAAAATTTGTAATTGGACATCTCAAACTGAGTTAAAAGCAAAGGAATAAAACCATGTTTCGAGCTGAGATTTATAAGATGACAACGTAGACGCCTGTCTAACAGAGAGGAGTAATTCATTTGAAAGCTTGGGAGCAATGATTGCAAACGCCCAATCATCTCTTTGCTTTAATCTAGATCTCAGAACTGCTGGGAGCAGGTGGTCTACTGATCTCAGTGGTCTGCATGGATGATAAGGTTGCAAACAGTCAGATTCAAGAAGGAGCTTGAACATTCAGTGATTTAAAAAAAATAATAATAAAATTTAAAATTTATCTTGAACCGCACAGGGAGCCAGTGAAGGGAGGCCAGTACAGGAGCGATGTGCTCACGTTTACGTGTGCCTTTAAAGATACGTGTGGCAACTTTTCTGGATATCTGCAGGCGTGAAGGCGAAGCTTGATTTTCCTGCATAAAGGGCATTACAATAACCCAGATGAAATTAAATGAATCCACGTGTAACCTTCTCCAGATCAGTGTAAGATAAAAAGGGTTTACCCTTAGCTAGAGGCCTCAATTTGAAAAAGCTAACTTTAACTACAGAGTTTATCTGTATGTCAAGCTTAAGCTAACAATCCATTATTGCACCTAAGATTCTAATCATAGGTTTCAAAAAGGCCTTCATTGTTAGATAATCAGAATTCAGTCTTTTCTTTTGTTCAGTGGCTCAGTGGGTAACACCGGTGCCTTACACCTCTAATGCTAGTGGTTTGAATCCCAACACTAGTGTAGGCCGGGGGCCGCTATTCAAAGGGAAACCGCAATCTTTATATTCCTCCAAACACCAGTGATGTTTAGCACACTAGTATGACTTTAAATGAAAACAAAATGGATGTAATTTCTTTTTTATGAAAATGAAAAAAAAATAACAGTTGTCCCCAGTCTCCTTGTTGTGTATGGAATTGCTATGTTCTCCTTGTATTCTATCCCACAGATAAAAAATATGCACTTAGCTGATTTGGGTATATTAAGTTTCCCATGACGTGTGAGTGTGTCGTCTCTGATGGACTGCTGTCCCATCCAGGGTGTCCTCAGCCTTGTTGTGTCCTGTGTTTCTTGGGATAGACTCTGGACTCCCTGTGACCTGCACCTAGATACATAGTTCTGGAAGACACAAACCTTTCCGTTTGGTTTGATCTAATTGTCTTTCTTTTTATTAATCAGGAGCATGCAAAATGAAAATGTACGAAGAAAACTGAAAATCATACCTCGTAACTTTATATCAGGAAGTGGTGACATTTCCTTCCCTCAGTCATTTAGTCACTGCTTATTTTCCAAAACAGATCGATATCTAGTGTGGTCGTCTTTTTAATAACCCTCACATATTTGGTTTTTGATTACGACGATCTGTGTAAATTCAAATGAATTAGTGGAATGAACATCCTGTTTTTGATACTGGTATAATACTCGGTATAAATTTAAATTTTCAAATTTACAAACGAGAGGAGGCCATTTGGCCCATCAAGCTCCTTGAGAACTTAACTAATAGCTCAGAGTTGTTAAAATCATATCTAGCTCTGATTTAAAGGAACCAAGGGTTTTAGCTTGCACTACACTAACAGGAAGAATATTCCATACTCTAACTACACGCTGTATAAAGAAGTGTTTTCTCAAATTCAGTTTAAAATGTTCTCCCACTAATTTCCACCTATGGCCACGAGTTCTAGTATTTACACTAATATTAAAGTAGCCATTTGGCTGAACAGCATCCAGACCTGTTAGAATCCTATAGACCTGGATCATGTCCCCCCTCAGTCTCCTTTGCTCGCGGCTAAACAGATTCAGCTCAGCTAGCCTCTCCTCATAAGACATTCCTCTAAGACCAGGAATCATTCTTGTAGCCCTATGTTCCAAGGCAGCAATGTCCTCCTTAAGGTATGGTGACCAAACCTACACACAATATTCTAGGTGGGGTCTTACCAAGAAATTGTATAATCGTAGCATCACCTCCCTTGACTTAAACTCCACACACCAAGAGATGGAACCCAACATCCTATTGGCCTTTTTAATTGCTTTCCCACACTGGCGAGAGTCGGACATGGAAGCATCAACTTACACACCGAGGTCTTTCTCATAATCAGCTACCTTTATTTCAGTGGAACCCATAAAATATCTGTACTGTATATTTCTGCTCCCTGCATGGATTACCTTACATTTATCTACGTTAAAGTCCATCTGACAGGTATCAGCCCAGTCGCTAATTAAATCAAGATCCTGTTTGTAGTCTCTGTGCTGCTAATTTAGTATCTGCTACACCAAATCTAAATGCATGGTACTGGTAAAGGAATCAGTGCATAATGGTTAAAATACTTTATTTGAAAAACAATGTATATACAATTTCAGTAGAAATGCACAAAAAATTATTGGTTGAAGTACACAAGATTACATATAAAGAGTATTAATAAATAATTTTCTATTGTTTGTCTTATTTCTGGTTTTACAAACCCTTAACTGCTACAATAAATTTAATACTGGTTTTGAAATATACGTACAACTGTGTACAGTGTTGTAGATTTAAATAAAAATTCAGCATGTACCCTAATTCATTTATAAGCAATTTTGTTAAAGTGTCCTGCAAACTCAAATATTTCAACTTCAAATATTTACAATATATTCCTTTTTTACAGTTATAAATGAGGGGTGAAATGCAGCACAACACAAGGAAAAATACACAAGACAAATACACTGACATATTATAACATCAAATGCTCAAAGCATGTAAGTGAAATGATCCTGGCCGTAAAGAGTGATTGATACGAAGTACTATGAAAGCACATGAAAAGATATATCAGTTTAATGAATAAATAAAGGCGGGGTACACTTATGACAAAGACACTGGAAGCTCTGTACAGTCAAATACAGACAGACATGGTTTTTGGAGACAGCAGGGAGAGGATTAAGTGTCACATAGAGGCTTATATGATGACTCATATCGTGAGTCATATCGTGAGTCATATCATGACTCATATCGTGAGTCATATCATGATTGCTGGCTGTCACAGTCCTCTTTCCCATTATCCGAGCACTCCGACGACACATAGCAGCCCGAATCCCGCGGATACTCGCTCGGCTCCGGCTTCTGGCAGTCCGATGGGGCGTCTTCACTTTCCAGGTGATTGTCGTCTGCAGATAGAGCAATCGGTTAATCGTATAGCACACTCCAAAACACCACCTGTGCTAAGGGCTGAACAGGGATTAAAGGTCGACCCTAGACATCCATCCAATGAATGTTAATACATTTCAGACCCCTTTGCACGTCAGAGCCTCCTAATTCATTCATTTCTACTCATATTCACTGCCACTGGACTTATGTATGTTTGTTTGTGGTTTTCTGCTGCGAAATCTTATTTCATAAACAAATCATAATATCAGTGAATTAGTTAAATGGCTTGTTGTGTCCTAACAAAGTCCATATAGTAATCTCAGAATCAGCTTGTGTGTTCTTTAGGCCTGCTGTTGAGCTAACAACATCCTGTCTTAATAAACTTTAATTTTCAATTCAATGTCATCCTGTACCCAGACCTCAATTTCTATAAATGGACATGCATAAAACACATTAATAGTGTTTTAAAAGATTTTTCTAATCACATGTATATCATAGCATACATCATCTTATTTAAAAAAAACCTTTCCCCAGCCTTGCCCAAATACTAGCTTTTCTTTACATTTATGGACCAATGTATCTGTACATTTTTCAGCTCAGTGTCTTGGTTTATTTGACTCCTGAGTTATATTTCATTTGCATATTTTATTGTTCTGGAGCTCAATGTGTCCTTTTGGTTCATATGTAACATATTAATTTCGATAAATGTATTATGCATTTTAAAGAATGAAGTTAAAAAAAAAATGGAGGGTCATATCTCGGCTTGCTAAGATCTTAGGCAACAACCGCTGCCTGGGCCTCACTGTGGTTAAACACGGTTTCAACCACTAAGCTAGAGAACAGAACACTTATGCTGCAGACTATGTAGGCTACAGAAAACAATAACATGTTTTACTTCAAAGCTGCGCTTTGGACATTGACATCCAACCTAGAAAATGCTTCCTCTGTGCATTGTCTGCAGTTCTGTCTTTGTGAGGCCACTTAATTATGCTAAGTTAGCAATTTTAAGCATCAGGACAAATGATTCACAAATTTCCTAATTTAAACAGCTGCTCTCCTTCCTTTTTATGCTCATATTCCTCTTTTTGTGCCTCAGCAGATCCGCATCGACGGTGCTTACTCTCTGAGTATTGCAGACACTCAGCTGCAGCCAGAAGCTTCTGTCTGTGTTCTGGATCTGTCACATTCAGCTCTATCAAGTGTTTCTCCTTCAAATCCTTGAGGTCCTCTACTGTCTGGTAGCCATTGAGTAGTAACGATGAGGCGTACTCCTGTGAGATTTTCATAAAAAATATATTTTAAGAAAAACAGAAGTTGTCTAAATTGCTGCAACTGGCATTTTTTCCCAGAGAGGTTTGTGGGTGGATGATATTATTAGATATTGCAAAAGGGGGGGAGGGGGCAAGTTATCTTACATTTTATCTATTTTTTCCAATTGTAAAATGTGAGATTTTAATCAAACCTTACTCCTACTATAAGTGGTACGTGGGTGTAAATCCCACTTGCTTTGGGTTTGAGGGGGCAGTGTGGTTGATTTGGTTATGAGCGTAATGTTTTTGTCGCAACTCCACCTCCAAGTTGAGACGTTCCAGCAGCTCCAGTAGTGTCTTCGGCCTCGGTCGCTTGCTCCGCCTGTTGCGCCTGATCTTTGGTTCTTCGGTGACCTTCTCAGCGATGAGATCAACGTAGATGAACTTGAAAGTACCGACTTTATTGTTCAGCATGCCCGTCCATATCCCCATGGGTGTTTTGCTGATGATGTCAATTATGTCACCCTCCTAAGGGGAAGTAAAAAAAGCCCATTATTAGAACTAGAATATAATTACAATAGAACAGCTCTTTTTATTGTCAATGTTTTTTAAAAACCGCGAAAGACCATTTAGCAGCTCTAGGATAGTAGGCAACGAAATGTAATCATAAATGTGAAACATAAATAACATAACACAGTGAGGTAGTGTGTACAGAAGTACTGGTGCAAATTGACGATAACATAAAGTGCAAGTGAAAAATAAAAGTGACAGGGAGTAAAGAGCTTCCAGTTCTTGGGGTGGAGGTTCATTGCATCTCAGCCAAGACGTTGTCGCGCTCACACGCAGCGACCCAGTGCTCTTCAAGGTTTGGTAGCTATTACGACTACACCACTGCTGTTATCCTACCACACAATAATACTTGTCAAACGATCTTTTTCTCTACCTTGCAAAGTGCTTTGACCCTGATATCAACAGGAAATCAAAGTCTATCGGGATGTTTGCTTCATTTTGGTTATTAATGACATTAAAGCAGGGCATCGTAATGGTACAGAGAATCTGACTACCTTCAGTTTCAGGGAGTCGGTGTCGTAGGGGCTGGGAACAAAGTTGGTGTGGACTCTGGCTCTTCCGCAAAAACTCCCCGTGTAGGGGCCGTCATGCTCGTGTCTTAGGCTGTCTCTGTTACTGGAAGGATTGGATCCACTGGTAACACCCCCTGAGCGTCAGCCATAGACACAAGAACAGTCAGGAAATGAATCGCTGTACGATGTTAATAAACTTTATTTGTTCTCTTGTGAAATTGTGTGATTACTCACTGGACGAGCTCTGCTCACCGTTGAGGCTCTCCACAGAGTTGGTCTTCAGATGTTCCTCTTCTGAGTGATGATGGCTGCCCACTTCATCCTCGTGGTCTCCTTCTACGTCTTCACTCTGTATCAGAATCCATGTAAGTTGACGGCTACAGGAAAGAGACCACCAAAGCCGGTGGAACCCAGACCTGCCTCTGTTCTCTGTGTGTGTGCAATCTGCATGTTCTCCCTATAAAACATGGGGTTCTTCCCACAGACCAGCATTCCATCCAGGGTGAACCTCTGGCTTCTAATAATATAAAAGTGGTACTTTATTTATCTCTGTAGGGAAATTCTCTTTTTGACTATCCCGTCTAGCTCCCAGTGTGACACATAGGCAGGTGAGAGCAAGCTTGGAGGTCATAACATGCAATATCCCTGAAGCTGGGGGGGTAAGGGCTTTGCATGGGGGCCAACAGACACGTGACTGTTTTGCCGAGGCCAGTGCTTGAGCAGGCGACCTTCTGATCACAGGCACAGAGGCTAAGCCCCTCCCCCGTGACCCTGTATAGAATAAGGGGTTGGAAGGTGGATGGATGAATCATTCAGTCTATAGGGAATTTAGCCCTTTAATTAAGTGCTTTGACCTTTCAGAATGTATCTGAAGGGTTTGGAGACAACAACAATCTCATGTTACTTAAGGTAATACACGGGTTTGAAATTCACAGTAAACGTTGACTCATTGTTCTGTTTAGACAGCATTTAATGCAACATTTTTTGTGACTTTAATGGTACATTTATCAATACATGTTCCTCTTCCGTGCCTAATTTAGCTGTTTCAAAAGGCTGTATGTTGACATAGGATTCTTGAGAAATTTAAGTAGAGGCCGTTTCTGCAAGAGCTTTTGAGGGAATCAAGCTTTTCTATTGGTCTCTAACTCACCGTCACATCTGCGGCCTTGGGGTGCTTTTTGTGCATCTTCATGCGCATAGTTAGAGAGATGGCCCTCATCTTCTTTCCCAGGCTCCCGGCTTTTGATTGGTCACTCTCATCACCTGACTTTTCATCATGCTCCTATGTAAACATGCACATGGCCAGGGACACAAGCATCAACCAGGATGTAAGAATTTTGATATATAAAAAGTGCAAGGAGATCAGACTTCTTATAAACGTCACAGAGATGACATGGTACTGTGCAATACCGTTTTACTCTGATACCTACCAAGATGCTGAAGTCTCAGATCATCTTAAGTCTTTATGCATTTTCAACATGATGACTGAGGATAATAGCCTGATCTGAATGAATGTTTTATACAAGTAGGCAGAGGTGGACATTTCAGGTCCAGAAAGTAAAAATCCAAACCAAGATTTTGTTTCAACCAACCAGTTGATTACTCTGTAACTATGACTCTTTATACTCAATTGGTTGGTTGAAACAAAATCTTGGTTTGGATTTTTACTTTCTGGACCTGAAATGTCCACCTCTGCAAGTAGGGCATTTTTGATGGTTTTCTATAATGCGTGCATAAGTGTTTTGGTCTTGCATATGACTAACGGGGAAAAGGCATTAAAAATAATTCATGAACGTACCCCTGTGCCTCCTTCTTCTGTCTTCACTGGGGATGGATGGTGTTTGAAGGCTTCAAACTTTCCAAAGCTGGTGGAGCGCTGAGAAAAGATCAGCGCGATCAGCATTTTGCAGATGGAAATGCTAAAACTGTGTAATGCTGACATAAAAATGTGGATGTTGTACGTCAATTCAGGAAAGCCCCTTTAAAAATGCACATTGCAAATTTACTAGCAAAAAGTCCTCTTCTAGGTGACTTGTGATATGACACTAGAGACATTTAATAGCAATGAGTTTCTTTACACTGTAGCATGTCTGTAAGATCAAGAATTCCATTGGGTTCTTTCTGCTGTTGTGAATTCATTCCCAAATTTGTCCATAAACATAAATTTGCCTTAAATGGACACTGACATAATTATATCTTGCAATAATATAATCCCCTTTATATTGTGGTCAGACTCGCAATGAAAAAAATAGTAAAACTTTTTAGCTCGTTTTTTTTTTTAAACTAATTTTCCACAGTCTTATCTAACTTAAAACTGACATTTCTGCATCATCTTTCAGTTTAAGTCCATGAATTACAAATGCTGATCCCATCTACCTGGCCAGATACTCTTAATCTTTATTAAAAGTTGAAATATATAAAACCACTGTTCAGTTCAGAGTATGAGTGCTTGCAAAGGCATTAAACCACACTCTGCCTTAGTGAGATCTCCCATTCGCTGAAAAATAACAGCTCCTAAATCCTCGAAAGCCTGCATTTCTGTAATGCCATGTATAATGAAATCCGCAGAGTCGGTAAAGTTTAGAAGGTATGACAGAAGACCTGAACACTTCAACCTGAAATCGTGCAACAGGATTGACAAACTCTAATTACAAGCTAATTATAACACCAGATATAATCACAAAAGCACCATACTTTGACTAATATGTGAATAATGTGCTCCTGCAATTCCCTACCTTTGGTTTGCTGGATTTTGCTTTGTCTGAGACGTTGGATGGTTTCCTTTGAAGCATGGCCACCAATTTTATTGTCAAAATATCAAGCGGCGTCTGACTGAAATGGAACCCTACTGCACTAGACACTGATCAGCCACCAGCGAGTGCTTAAAGCAGCTGTAGGTGGAAACAGTTCCATCTTGCCACTTCCTCAAATCGGACAGGATGTGCGCAAAGCAGTATTCTACCTATCTCAGAGCACTGTGAATCAGTGGGGGAAAACCAGACTCCAACTGCTTAAATCAGCATTCTGTCATCTGCCACTGGGCTGCAACACAAAATCAAATGCATTACTTTTGCTGAGCCCAAATTTACCAATGAACGACCTATCTGGGAGGTAATATTACTGACTAAAATCATGCTATGTATCTCAATAATATTATAGGCCCTGTGTTACGTTGCTCTAGCCTGGTATGTTTGCACACTGCTCTGTAACATTATTTGTGACATTAAAGTTTTTTTTTCACTATAACTAACTATACTGCCCTATAAAGACAAGACACAGTAACAGCTCACGTTATAAGAATTGATTTGTGACTGAAACAGAGTCTCTTAGACTCTGTTGTATCTCGTGGCAAAATATCTACAATTATGCTTGATCTTTAAGAAAACAGAGTGTGACAGTTTCAGTGACTACAAAATCCACACTAAAAGCAAGGAGAAACGCCACTTTTGTCAGTTTCAGTGTCGGCGTATCTACTTTTTTTCTCCTTCGTGGGGCAGTGTACCTTGTCATGAAATAATTATTGAGAAAAGTGGTTTCATAACTAGAACTTTTAACATTCATCACTTCTAGTCTTTCAAAACCCCGGAGAAGCTTGTTCAGGAAGTCCAATGCCTCAACGGTGCTTACAGGAAGAGCCGATGGTGGTAAATTACAGTGTTGCAAAAATTTCCTCCTCGATTACCTCACTCTCAGTGCACTCAGTGACTTCAGAAGCCTTGGTGTACAAGGCTTCAGTGACAACGTCACACCTGGTCAAATCTGACTTCTGCTGATTACTTACTATAAGGCATAAATGCTGTCTGATTCCATGGAGTGTTGAAAACATTACAATAAGGAAACCACATTAATTCTACTAGACTTTGGGACATTTGTCTTATTAAAAAAGCATTTATAAATTCAAGGCCTTATTCTCACTCAGTCATTTTCTAGCTATATTAATGGGACTATTGTGTATGAATTCAGTGTAATATCCCTAAAACAGCACCACTGTAAAACAACAGTTTGCATCTTCTGATATTTCTTTACAGTCTTTTTATGTTTGTTCCTTTAAATAATCCTAAAGTAAAAATATCCATTGATATAACATTTAATATAAAAAAAATTGTACAGCTCCTTTATATATACTCAGCAAAAAAAGAAACGTCCCTTTTTCAGGACTGTGTATTTCAACAATAATGTTGTAAAAATCCAAATAACTTTACAGATCTTCATTGTAAAGGGTTTAAACAATGTTTTCCATGCATGTTCAATTAACAATAATCAATTAATTAACATGCACATCTGAATATCACACCTGGGTGACAGGTACAGGATGGCCACAACAACTGCCCGAGTCACACCAGGAACACACAAGCCCTCAGTCCAGCCTCTCTCAGCCTATTGCGGACAGTCTGAG